ATTTTTTTATATTTAATAATAAATTAAATAATAAAAAATAATTATTTTCTCCCCAAACTCCACACCACTAACCTGAAAATTTGAACTTAAAATTTTCCATGCGGAAGTTCAAGCTGCGGTTAAGCGTTAACACTAAAATTGCCCACAGAAATATTGTCACCTAAGCTTTGGGCCGAAGCGCGTCGTCACTGAACCATAGGCCCATTTTATAACTGGTATGTGTCCAGGCCACGAATTGGGTCCGGCAATGTTGCCCAGCCCTGCCTCTTCTGCAGTTCGTGGTAACGAGTTCTCAGAAGTAGGAGGGGAAATGTTAGGAGAATTATCTAAATAATTTAGTAATACTTTTTTATTAAAATTAAAAAATTTAAATTTAAATTGGATAATTTGTAGGTGGAGTGAGATGAGTAAGAGATACGAGAGGACTGTATTTTATTATACAATAAAGATTCAAATAAAAAATCAACCAACTGGCTATGTGAATGTATAATAAAAAATAATATAAAAATTTAATATAATATCATCACAATTAATTTTATTTTATAATTTATATAAATTTATATTTTAGATTTTTTTTTTATAATAAGAAACATGGTTAGTAAATTAGTATTTGTTTGAGAACCGATCGAGGAGTCGACCTAATAATCATGTGCTGCACTTTGTCTTATTTTTCACACAGAAAAACGTGACCACTTGAATCACATGGGGGGAGTGCATTTATATTTTAGATATTTAATTCTTAAATAAAACAACTAATCAAACACTTTTTTTTCATTATATATACTTAAACAAAATTTCTTTAAATTTTGTACTGACATTATTTTATTTCTCACATTTTATTTGTTCAAACAAAAAAATTTAAACGGAAAATTTTTTTTAAAATGTAATTGCCAATTTCTTCAATCTCATACTATAGTGTGTATGCACGTACTTTACATTAAAAAAAAATTGAAACTGAAAAATTGAAAAATCAAAACCAAACCACATAAGAGAAACACAAGTGTTTCCGGATAAGCTGATTTTCCAGGCTAAACCAGAATAGCAATTATTGAGCACATTTGAAGAAAAAAAGGTTAATGACAAAACAATTACAAACCATTCCTTTGACCTATGTGGAAAGGAAGAGGAAAATTTGAAGTGAAAAAGATGGTTTTGTATGTTAAGAGGAAGGGGATTACCACAGGGTGCAAGGCACTTGTTTTATTGTCCTTTCTCATTTATTTACATTTATTTCCAAAGTGTGACAAGCACAGGACATGCACTCGGAAGGACCGTCAAATAAATGGAAAACTACAAGATAAATTAAGTTTGTATGATTTTCTCAACTAGTAAAAAATTTGGGACTGAAAAAAAGTTCATACATTCAAATCTTGAAACAAGATTTAAAAAAAAAACGAATATCTATAACAATGAACTACTGGATATTTGATAATATTATAACTTTCTAATATTTCATGTCTAGGTTCAAAAATAATAATTTCAAAACTCCTGACACTAGAGGCTACAAATTCAATTCATTTGTAAAGCAACCAAAAACACCTTGAGATATTAAAAATGAGAAAGAATGCTTATGTATTAAAAATGAGAAAGAATGCTTACTTGGAGAGATGCTAAAATATTTGAAAGGGCTTGCCCATAATGTCATGAAAATGGACAGCAAGAGCTTATCAATTGGAACATCAAGAGCAGCTTCAAGCATTGGAATGACAATACCTGCAACAAGGTACACAAAAGAAGAGGACCAAATCTAAGTTAAACTCACTAAATCATAACACTTGAACCTCTTGAGTTTCAGAAGCCACTCCCTGCACAAATTTTCACATGCACCAGAGGCATTGATGGGCAATGCCATGAATAGTGAACTTTGGCTGTGCTGATTTTTAAGTCCTAGAATTGCAAAACCAGCTTCTCCGTTTACATTTGTCTCCTTTCTTATGTCAATTGCTGATCCATATGATTACCTACAATTCATCACATACGGTGGCTTTGAAATCTTAAACCATAGTGCAACAAATTGAAGCTAATCATACAGTCAACAATTAACATCAGATACATGTGAAAAATAGTGACAGGAGGATGAAAAATATGCTGTGTTAAATGACTGAAACAGAAAGTCCATTCGCTATTTATAGGCAAAAAATGAGTCATGAACGAACTTAATTTATAGTCTTCACACTCTTTGAATTGTTTGTTATTTATACAATGTAATAAGGCATCACCCTCTTACTCCCCCTACTAAAACATTTGTATAGGTTTAACACAACTTTTGAATTCTTTCTTCTGCTTTCTTCACACCAATGTCACGTTTCTTCTGCCATTCATTTTTTGGTATATGTTATATGTTCATTTGTTTTCTCCTTTTTTTGGAATTATGCGACTAATTCCAAGGTCATTGTCTTTAACTGCTACGAATCCTGGTAGGAAGTTACTGAGAGTACAAGACTTTGCTTCCCTACTCAAGGCAGCTGTGGTCTTTGAACTTGACGTCCTTCCCAAATGCTCACAGATAAAAACCTCTAGCAGATGAGTTTCTAAAGATCCACGTTGGTTTTCACTCCAAGTCCATTTAGCACGTAAACAACACCCAAAGTGGCAACATTGCCCGGTAAAACTCTAGGATTAAATGGATAACCTCCAAGACCTGCAACCTATGAGTCCACGGTGTTGATCCCCCCATCTGTGAAAACATGGACAGC